GGGGGAGGAAGGCCAGGCCTTCACCGGGAAGTCTGAGGAAAAGGGGCCGCCCCTCGCTCTCCTCTCCCACAGGCCCGTCCGTGTGCGGATACGGCTTTCGGAGCCAAAACTGCCCCTTCGAGCGGAAAAGCTTCGGCAACTGCCGGCCCGCAGCAGGTGACGGCCTCCCGACGGAGTCCCCCCTGCCACACAGCAAAACCTTTACATATTTTAATGTAGACGGGCGTTCTCTAATCCTCTTTAATGCAATTCGATAGATTAGCATCACATGAGCATCCAAACCTCTACCTGTTCTATTTATCTCTGCCTGGGGCAGCCTCCCTGTGTGTAATTAAAAAGGGGTTGGGGGAGTATCCTAATTTTTACACTAAAAGCCAAAAAAATCCACAACTCCTCGTGCTACTTCTTTTAGGTTCTGCATGACTCAGCACAGCTCTTGTGTGTGCAGACATTGTTTGTTACTTTTCATAAGGAAAACTTGCGCTATTGCACCAGTCGTGACATGCAGTGAAGGAGCTCTGCCAGGGTGAGGTAGTGACTACAAAAAAAAAAAAAAAAAAAGAAAAAGAAAAAAGAAAGAATATCGATGCATTTTGCAGGATTTCATTCAGTATTTTCCACACTGGGGCATGGTTTGTCTCCCAAAGAGCAGGCAGCTGTTTGGCTGCACAGTGAAAAGTAGAAAGGAAAACGGGCTCCACATTTCCTGTTACTTTTTCTGTTCACAACTATGTAAAGCGTGTTGCTAATCACAGGGTGGGGCCGCTATATAAAAAGGGCAGTGTGGATTGTATGCCTGGCACCTAACAGAAGGAAGGATTCTGGTGGCAGTGAGGTTAAAGGATATTTGCTAACCTAAATTAGGCTGCAATTCAATGCTTTTTGGTTTAGTTTTCAGAAAATACTAGAAATTTATATGCTGGTACTTGCTTGTGATAGCTTAAACTTGAGGTTTAGTGTGGTGGGTTGATCCTGGCTGGATGCCAGGTGCCCACCAAAGCCACTCTCACGCTCCTCCTCAGCCGGACAGGGGAGAGAAAATGTAACAAAAGGCTCATGGGTTGAGGTAAGAACAGGGACATCACTCAGCAATTACCATCACTAGCAAAACAGAGTTGACTTGACTTGGCGAAAATGAATTCAAGTTATTACCAATCCAATCAGAGTAGGGTAATGAGAAAAAAACCCCAAATCTTAAAACAACTTTCCCTCTCCCCTCCGTTCTTTCTGGGTTTAAATTCATGCCTGATTTCTCTACTTCCTCCCCCTGAGCAGCACAGGAGGAGGGGGAATGGGAGTTGTGGTGAGTTCATCACGTGTTTCTGCCACTCCTTCCTTCTCAGGGGGAGGAGTTCTCCCACTCTTCCCCTGGTCCAGCGTAATCCAGGTTGGAGTCCCTCCCATGGGAGACAGTTCTTCACAAACTTGGCCAGTGCGAGTCCTTCCATGGGGTGCAGTCCTTCAGGAACAGACTGCTCCAGCATGGGTCCCCCGCTGGGTCACAAGTCCTACCAGCAAACCTGCTCCAGCGTGGGCTCCCCATGGGGTCACAGACCCCTTGAGGAATCCACCTGCTCTGACGTGGGCTCCTCCACGGTCTGCAGGTCCATCTGCTCCATTGTGGACCTCCATGTGCTGCCGGGGAACAGCCTGCCTCACCATGTTCTTAAACACGGGCTGCAGGGAAATACCTGCTCCGACGCCTTGAGCACCTCCTCCCCCTCTTTCTTTGCTGACCTGTGTGTCTGCAGAGCTGTTTCTCTCACTCATCTTTCCTGCTTGCTGCTGCACATTTTTTCTGCCCCCATCTTAAATATGTTATCACCGAGGCGCTACCACCATCACTGATGGGCTTGGCCTTGGCCAGCAGTGGGTCTATCTTGGAGCTGCTGGCATTGGCTCTATCAGACATGGTGGAAGCTTCTAGCAGCTTCTCACAGTAGCCACCCCTGCAGTCCCCCCACCTACCAAAACCTTGCCACACAAACACAAGACACTTGGCTGACATTTTAAGTTTTGCAGGATGTGACCTAGACAGAGCATATGCAGTTAACTGCAGATTAGCTCTGTCGTTTACTCAATAGCTAGGAAATGTATGTAAGTGTGCTCGCAAACTGGCAATCCAGACATTTTTTCAGATCTTTCAAGTTACTGGAATGGTTCCATTCTGTTCTGTTTGAGCTTCTTTGTTTTTCAGGTTTTGAAATACAATAACAATTAGCTTTTCTTTATATTCGTTTTGGTTTATGAGCAGTAGAAATGGGGAGCTGTCTATACAGTTTTACAGTTTTTCTTCAATTGTAACAGCTGAAGTGCTAACAACAGCGTATGCTAGTAAGGCAGCCCAAGAGTTGCTATTTCAGTCAGCATCTGGATTGCAAACAGGTTTTAAACAAGTGCTGTAATATTATCAATCTTTACTTATATAGGAAATTTATTGTAAGTATATGTAACACCTCATCAATTATTTTTGTAGGATTTTTTCCCCAATAAGATTTAAAGACCTGCCTTATCCAATCTGGCAGATTTCACAGAATAATTCCCACTAAAATCCCTATGACTAGTAAATTGATTTTTACTTTTTAATTAGGTTTTTGCTTTTCTGGAAAGAAAATACACTGTAATTGAAATAAAGGTATGAATACCTTGTGCAAGAAAAAAAGAGATAGGTTGGAGGCTCTTTGTTTTATAACTCAGTTGCTGGTTTTGGCTGTTGAGTCATTATTTAACCTTGAACTATCATTTAGTACCTATGTCTCAATTAGACAATCTATAAACTGTGCATAATATTTTTTTACCTCGGATATTGTAAAGTTTATTAATAGAACTCTTTCACTTCCTGGCTTAAAATGCTATAGGTTCTGGTATGCTGTAAAATTCTACTCATAATTCAGTGTGGCATTCTTCAGAATAAAAAAAAGTATAGGGAAGAACAGTAATAAAGTTATAGTATACAGTGAAAGTAAATTCACAGAACACGATGTGAATTCACACAAATTCCTAACATTTTGTGAGATTTCACCCCCAAAATGTACCACTGCAAGTGAAACCTTCAGAATTATCAGATGTTTACTTCTCCATTATTAAACAATATAATAACAGAAGTATCTTTTTTGATTGATCTGTATTAGGTGGTGAAATTGGGACTGGAGATCCAGTCTTTTGAAGATTGGTAGCATGAAAGAGATGGAGAATGCTATTAGCAGTTTTAAGCTGGACAATCTGCTTTGATTCAGGGTGTCTAATCATCTGATCTTTTTCTTGCTAGAAAAAAGTTTTGAAAAATTCTTCTGATTATTCCCCGTTACATCAAATTATTTTTTTGTAGTATTCTCTTACTGAAAAAAAAAAAAAAATCCATTGATTTAGTCTGTCTGAAGTTTTCGGGTTTTTTTTTCCTGATGCAGTGGTACATCTACTTAACATTCTCAAGGCATCATAGAATAATTTATGTTGGAAGGGATGAGAAAGACAACGGTATGCAATTCCTGTATGTTGCCTTTAAAGTTGAAGTGCATATAATTAAATGTGATAGCAAAAGAAATCTAATGCAGCACTACTGCCATACGACACTAGTCCACACTGGTATTTGACAGGAAAATACATGCAGCTATACTGCTTGATCTATAATTCAAAAGCTAACAACCAGATTCAGAGGATGTTTGGTGACTAAGTACT